GTCATGAAGTCTTTGCCCATGCCTATGTCCTGAATGGTATTGCCTAGGTTTCTTTTCTAGCCTTTTTATGGTTTTAGGTTTTATATTTAAATCTTTAATCCATCTTTAGTTAAATTTTGTATAAGGTATAAAGAAGGGTTCCAGTTTCAGTTTTCTGCATATGGCTAGCCAGTTTCCCGAACACACTTTGTTAAATAAGGAGTCATTTTCCCATTGCTTGTTTTGTCAGGTTTGTCAAAGATCAGATGGTTGTAGATGTGTGGCATTATTCCTGAGATCTCTGTTCTGTTCCATGGGTCTATATTTCTGTTTTGGTACCAGCACCATGCTGTTTTGGTTACTGAAGACTTGTAGTATAGTTTGAAGTCAGATAGCTTGATGCCTCCAGCTTTTTTTTTTTTTTTTTGCCTAGGATTGTCTTGACTATATAGGATCTTTTCTGGTTCCATATTAAATTTAAAGTAGTTTAATTGTAACATTTATGGCATTTCCATGTTAGTATTAAGATGTGAGATACTGTTGCATTCATTGTGCTATTTGTTGCCTGTGTACTTTTTTTCCTTTTTGTTTTTGCTTTTGAACTAGTATTTTTGTTTCATAGGTCCTGTGTGATTTACACTTTAAAGAGTTTCTGTTGTGATCTGTTTCCAGGATTTGTTTTAAGATTTAGAGCTCCTTTTAGCAGTTCTTATTGTGGAGGCTTGGTAGTGGCAAATTCTCACAGTATTTGTTTGTCTGAAAAAGAATGTATCTTTCCTTTATAATGATGCCCAGTTTTGCTGGATACAAAAATCTTGGCTGGTAATTGTTTTGTTTGAGGAGGCTGAAGACAAGGTCCCAAAACCTTCTAGCTTATAAGGTTTCTGCTGAGAAATCTGCTGTTAATTGGATAGGTTTTCCTTTATAGGTTACCTGGTGCTTCTGTCTCACAGCTCTTAAGATTCTCTCTTTCTTCTTAATTTTAGATAACCTGATGACAATGTGCCTAGGCAATGATCTTTTTGTAATGAATTTCCCAGGTGTTTTTTGTGATTGTTGTACTTGGATGTCTAGGTCTCTAGCAAGATTGGGAAGGTTTTTCTCAATTATCCCCCCAAATATGTTTTCCAAACTTTTAGATTTCTCTTTTCCCTCAGAAACACAGATTATTCTTAGGTTTGTTTGTTTAACATTATCCCGGACTTCTTGTAGGCTTTGTTCATATTTTCTTATTCTTTTTTCTTTGTCTTTGTTGGATTGGGTTAATTCAAAGTCCTTGTCTTTGAGCTCTGAATTTCTTCCTTCTACTTGTTCAATTCTATTGCTGAGACTTTCTAGAGCATTTTGCATTTCTATAAGTGTGTCAAATGTTTCCTTAATTTTTGATTTTTTTTTTGCTTTAAATTATCTATTTCCTTGAATATTTCTCCCTTCACTTTCTGGATTTTTTTTTTTTTATTTCCTTGCATTGTACTTCACCTTTCTCTGGCTTCTTCCTGGTTAGCTTAATAACTAACCTCCTGAATTCTTTTTCAGGTAAATCAGGGATTTCTTCTTGATCCATTGCTGGTAAACTAATGTGATTTTTTTGGGGTTGTTAAGGAGCCTTATTTTGTCATATTACCAGAGTTGGTTTTCTGGTTCCTTCTCATTTGGTTGGGCTCTGTCAGAGGTAAGGTCTAGGGCTGAAGGTTGTTCAGATTCTTTTGTCCCATGGGGTGTTCCCTTGATATAGTACTCTCTCCCTTTTCCTATAAATGTGGCTTCCTATGAGCAAAACTGCAGCGATTGCTGTCTGTCTTCTGGATCTATCCACCCAGCAAGTCTACCCAGCTGGTTCTGGGGGTCATCTGCACAGAGTCCTGTGATATGAACCATCTATGGGCCTCTCAGCCAAGGATACCAGCACCTGTTCTGGTGAAGGTGACAGAGGGGTGAAGTGGACTCCATGAAAGTTCTTCACTTTGGTGGTGTAATGCTCTATTTTTGTGCTGGTTTGGCCTCCTGCCAGGAGGTGGTGCCTTCCAGACAGCATCAGCTGTGGTAGTATGGAAGAAACCAGTGATGGACAGTGTCCTAGAACTCTGAAGATTATATGCCCTTTGTCTTCGGCTACCAGAGTGGGTAGGGAAGAACTATCAGATGGTGGCAGGGCTAGGCATCAGAGCTCAAATTCTCCCTGGGTGGGTTTTGCTGTGGCTGTTGTGGAGAATGGGGGTGAGGTTCCCAGGTCAATGGTGTTGTGTACCTAGGAGGATTATGGCTGTCTCTGCTGAGTCATGCAGGTTGTCAAGGAAGTGGGGGAAATTTGGCAATCACAGGCCTCACCCAGCTCCCATGCAAACTGAAGGGCCAATCTCACTCCCACTGTGCCCCCCTAACAAACCTGAGTCTGTTTCCGGGCAATGAGTGAGCTGGGCATGAGAACTTGCCCCAGGCTACCCACTTCCCTGGTGTGAAAGAAAAGGGCTTCAGTTCTTTCCTCGCCTGTGGAGTCTGCACACTGGATTCATGCCCTTCCCTGATTTCTGGCCAGGAGGCTTCTTGCCCCATTCAAATTATTACAAAGTTCATTTGGAGCTTTCCTTCTCCTTGTGGTGTTTTCCCGTTGCTCCTCTGGCCACCCTCCCAGTGGATCCCTGTGGTACCTGGCAGGAATGGCTTGCCTGGGGACCCAGGGAGCTCTCAGAGCCTTTCTGCTGCTTCCTCTACCCCTGTATTTCTCTCAACTCTCTAAATTGACTCAGTGCCAGCTAAGGTTGAAAACTTCTTCCGTAAACAGAGTTTCAGTTTCTCCAGTGCGAATGTGTGTTCAGGAGTAGAGGATTTCCCTTTTCAACTTCCACAGTTGGAGCACTCACAGTATTTAGGGTGTCTCCCTACATGGTCATGCAGGAGCAGTTTGCTCTTTCAGAGGTCTGTGGGTCCTTTCGGGGTTGCTGGTTTGTTTTTGTAGTTGATATGGAGAAAAAAATCACAATGTGAACCTCCGCGGGCTGCCCTGTCTGTGTGAGTTGGAGCTGCAATCTAGTCCTGCCTCCCTTCTGCCATGATGATTTCTAATGTCTTTTTATTTCTTTGTGTCATTTTCATTTTATTTTTCAATGTGCTGGATTTTTCCCCCATGTGTGGGATTTATTTGTTATTCTTTTCAGTGAAGTTTCTACTTTTTTCAGTGTTAGTCCCATTTGATTCAGTGTTTTCAGCTCTTGTGAGTTTATAGGGTTCTGTCACATTTAACTCACTAGTGGTACTATTTGAGAGATAAGGATCCTAAACAAAGTTAACAGGGTCACTGTTATATTAACTGTCTCACACTTGAACTGTAGCATTTCTTAGGTTTGTGGACTGAGGTTCATGTCTTCTATATGAAGAATAAACAAAACTAAGGCTGCTCTGGTTGTCTTCTTCCTTCCTTCCTGATATGGTTTGGCTCCATGTCCACACCCAAATCTCATCTTGAATTGTACTAATCCCCATGTGTAGTGGGAGGAACCCGGTGGGAGATAATTGAATCATGGGGGCCAGTTTTTCCTGTGCTGTTCTCATGATAGTGAATAAGTCTCATGCGATATGATGGTTTTATAAAGGGGAATTTCCCTGCATAAGTTCTCTTGCCTGCCGCCATGTAAGACGTGACTTTGTTCCTACTTTGCCTTCCGCCATGATTGTGAGGTCTCCCCAGCCATGTGGAATTGTGAATCAATTAAACCTCTTTCCTTTATAAATTACCCAATCTCAGGTATATCCTTATTAGCAATGTGAGAACAGACTAATACACTTCCACACCTCTGGACACAGACTCCACTGAGCATAGATTAAAAACCTCAGGACCTGAGAATCTCCAAGTTTCTTCTAATATCACACACTATCCTGGAATCAAACCAGATCATGCATGTGAGGCTACAGGTAGAATACAGAGAATTTAATTATTTTCAAAACAAGACTTGTGGATTACAAATACATATCCATTTGTGCAAACTGACCTGCCTGGTGGAAAGAGAAGAACCAGGAGAATCGAGATGAAATTTATTATTGTAAATTTTCCAAAAGCAGAGACAGAGACTATTATATGCTTGGCACAAAGAGAGATATCAGAAGGATTTGTCTATTGATAAATGGCATAGTGGTGCTCCCAGCCTAGTAGCCTTGGAGCCCTCTGGTGCACAGCTGCCATAACTCCAGATTGCCAACAGTGGGTGTCTGGGTCTGAGGCCAGGCCAGGCTGAAAGAGGTTGAGGCTGCTGAGTGGTGATGCTGAGGCTGCTGAGGCCATGACTGGCTCCACAGAAGGTGATGCCTGAGCCCCTGGGGAACGCTGTGCTGGACTGAGGGCCTCAGCCAGCCCTTCCCAGGTGGAAGGTGAGAGCTGGCTCCTCTGATCAGCATCAGGTGGGCTGGCAGCCCAGGTCAGGCTGGGACAAGCAGTAGGGGAGAATTTACACAGAACTTGGAACTCTGTTATGGAAGATGAGAGAGAGGCTGGCTTCAGAGCAGGGTGAGCTAGAAGGGAAAGAAACTGGTGGTGAGGGCACTTGAGTGAAAACACTAGGGAGCTGGGAAGGCCAGCCAGGAAGGAAGGAGGTTGACTGAGCTCAGTGCTGGGCCTAGGGCAGGGAAATGAGACCTAGGGACAGAGGTGCATTTTGGCCTCCTAAGCTGCAGGCAGGCCTGGCTTGGGAGGAGCCTGCCTGCCCCTGGAGGACAAGCCCTGGAAATAGGAAACTGGGTGCTCATGACATGGGCCCTGGCCTCCTGGGTCCCTGGAGTTATTTGCTTTTCACTTCCCTGCTCCATTCTCTGCCACATTGTTAGTGGAGCAGTTGGTTGGTTTCGAGATGATAAGAAATTCCTAAGGTCCAGAGAGGTTTATTTATTTATTTTTTTGTGGTGGGGTGGTGAAGATTGTTTGTAATGGAGTTCAAACTAGCTCTGACAGAGGGTTCAGTATCAAAGACACATGATTGAGAAATTGGTGAGAAATCCGTACAGCATAGGATTTAGGGAAGAGAGAAAGCTGGGGGAGAAAGGAGGAAGCAAAAGCCTGAAGTGACAGCAGACGGATGCCTGGAACAGCATCGTTACATTCTGAAGATGGTTCAATGAATAAATAAGAACTTCAGTCATATTTACGCTAGAGATCCATTTATTATAGCCCTGCAATCCGGGATGTCCACCCCCATGGGAGTCTTGCCTCTGTACCAGAGAAGATGGTTAGGCCCAGAGGAAGGTTAGTCTCATGCCTGCTGTTACAGGCACTTCATTGTTCTCTTTATCCAGGGCAGGAAGTGTGAGACCTCGATGTAGACTCCTGGAGGCATCCCATTGTTTTTCCCATAAGAGAAAACACCTTGGACCACGTTCTTACACACGAGGGGCCCCCCGGAGTCCCCCTGTGAACAGAGAGAGGAAAGACTGAGCTGGCCTTTCCTGGGATGGGTGGTCTCTGTTAGAGGTTGTGTGTGACATCACTGCCAGCCTCCCTCAGTCCTGGGTCTCCAGCATGGCCCTGGCTGTGCTTTCTGGCTCTCCCCAGACCAAGCCTTTCTCTGCGATTCTCAGTCACTCTGGTGATAAGTGACTGTGGGATGACAGATCCTTCTCCTCCAAACACCCCAATCCACCTAGTCTTTAGGAGTGGATGAAAGACTAGATTCCTGGGGGAAACAGGGAAACAGGCTACCCAAGCACTGGGCTGGGAGCATGAGGATCTGTCCACTGCCATTCCCCAGAAGTCCCTCAAATTCCTCTCTCCCTGCAGTCCTTCTGGGTAGAGGCTGGAAACCCAACCTTGAAACCGGTCTTTGTCTTCTTCGGATCCCCCACACAAATCTTGGTGGCTCTGCTGTAATAGGCATGGAAGACATATTCACATTCCTGGTCCTTCTGCACTGTCAGCAACACTTCCTGCAGTGTGGTTGCTAAAGTGCCCATTGAGACACGGCCCCAGCCAGCCACGCTGCACACCTGCCCTGGTTTCACCTGGGCCTTGCTGCTGGGTTGCCGGAGGGTCTGCACAGCTGAGGTCTGCTTGGCTTTTCTCTCCAGCTGGTGGGAAACAAGCAAGAAAGTCAAGGTCAGGCAATGGCCTTCAGGACCCCAACACAGTGATGGGGCTGCACCATCTTCCATCTCCTCTGAGGCACAGGGACAGGTCAAGAGGCTAGGATGGATATGAGGGAAGGGCTGGGATCATAGTGGGAGTGGAACCAACTGGACCAAGATGAGCAAGAGTGACAGGAGTGTGCCTCACCTGCAGTAGCATGATGTCACTGGAGAAGATCTCAGGGTTATAGGCTGGGTGGGGGAAAGCTCTTCTCACAGGGATGAACTGCTGGGTCCTCTCCTGTTCCTTGATATTATGGGCCCCCAAGGTGACATTTATGGAGCTGCACAGAGAGCAGAGTGAGGATGGGGGTAGAGTCATAGGGGATACAGCCCAGGAGCAGTAAGAACAGGTGACAGCTGGGGCAGGGCAGGGCTGCAGCTAAGGGGAAGTTGAGGGGACAAAAGGGCTCCAGGGTGGAGTGACTGTGCCCTGTGCTTCACAAAGACATGAAGAGTAGGGCGTCTGGGGGCTTTCTCTTGCCTTCAGGAAATATGGAATTGCTCAGTTTTGCATTTTGACCCTTAATGCACGCATTCAACATTCACCACTGCTTTTATTTGACCCGTGTATGAAACCATGCCACTTGCTTTGACTTCTGACCCTCTGAGCCTGTCCTATTTCTCAGCCTTTCGTCATCCTAGTCCTATCATCCTAGGTGGCTGCTCCGATGAGCTTTCATGGGCTTGTGTTACCAGGAACTCTGAAAGCTCTTCTGGGCCTCAGTCATCCGGGAAAGAGCAAAGGTCCTTGTAGGGGGCTCAGGAGGTGAGCTGGTGCTGCTCCTCACCTTCCCCAGCAGTAAGCAGCTGTCATCACAAAGTCCTTCCTCACTAGGATGCCACCACATCCCTTACTCTTCTTATCCAGAAACTGAACAAAGGCCATATAGTGGTAGGAGTGGGGCTTGGCCTCATGGCCCCCGATGATTTCCTCTGAAAGGAAAGCCTGGAAGATAAAGTAGCTGGGGATGGCTGTGGTCAGGGGAGAAGGCTTAGAAAGACAGTGATTGAGGGCAAAGTCTTTTGTGTGCTGCAGATGGTGAGGGAGGGTCCTCCTGAGCTCTGCAGGCAGCACTCCTTGCAGGTAGAATAAGCTTTTCTGAACTTCAAATCTTACAGTCTCCTCTGAGAAAGAAGGGACAGTGCTTGACTTCTGCATCCTGCTTCAGAAACGTATGGAGGAAGAAAGATCTGTTTTCACAATGGGAGATTCCCAAAGGATGCTGGACAGAACTTCCCTGGTTCCTCCTTCTGAGTGAATCTTTCTGATCCCTCTGAGCCGTTCCTATCCTCCTGATTGGTGCCATTTTCTAATGATCTACCCATGAGCTTCTGGAGTTGGATTTTCTAAAATTCTCATGTCCAAGGGTCTAACACATTCTTGGTCCTCAGTAAGTGTTCTTTGGCTGCATAAATGAATAGCCTTTGGTTGAGGTTTGGTGGGGGTAATGCTGGTGGAATTCAGGACATCAGGGATATTAGAGGGGGTTACCACCAGGTCACTGGAGTGGCCAAGGGCCTGGAAAGGCAGAGGGAAGTGGCGAAACCAACTAAAAATGGATTGCAAAGCCTGTGTGGAGCCAAGGTAATGGGAGAGCTATGGACACAGTCGTCTTGCCACCTCTGAGATCAGTTTCACCATGACCTTCTCTCCTGGGCAAGGGTAATTGGGTGGGGGCACTGAATAATTTAAATGGTTCTTAAGCTGGGTCCAGTGACAACTCCCATGACTGCAACTTGGTGTCTGAGATTCCCTTTCCTGGGTTGGAGTGTAGGATAATAATTACTTATCTTTTTTTAGCTTCACATTCCCCATCAAGTGCCTTTCTAAGAATAACTCACACCCCAGGTCATAAAGAACAGGTCTAGGGAGAGGGTAACACCTACTGAACCTTTTAGGGAATCCCTTCGTTTTTTGATCTTTGCTGAGACTATCTAGCCTCATATTTATAAGTCTGGGTGTGGAATGGGAGCTGGGTTCAGATTGATGAAAATGCCTGACCAGTGCTCATGGGTGCAGGTTGTCTTATAGATAGGTTCAGGCCTCTGGAATAGGGATAGTCACTTACCTGTCCCAGTCCCAGGGGGCAGAAGAAAGGCCGACAGGAGCAGGAATGGCTGCATTTTCTCAGGAAGGCTGCCTAGGTCAGAGCTGTTGGTGTTGACTCCTTCCAGAAGCAAATCCTGGAGGAGGATGAAGGAGGGGTGGGTACAGTAACTTCAGAGACCTCCTAGACTTGTCCCCTTCTGGTTTCTATGGGTGTCATTATAGAAGGTGGTTTATTAAAATTCTCCGGCTTGGTTTAGGTGGACATGGCACTGTCACCACATTTACACTCCTGCTGCTGAGTAACAATGTAAAAGCAAGAATAAAGAACAAGGAGGTGGAGCTGTTGAAGCTGTGGCTGCAGCTAGCAGGAAGGCTGGAATCCCAGAAGCTCCTCAGTGACGGAAGAACCAAGAATATCTCTTTTTCTCAGGTGTTGGCTCTTTTTCTACTCGGATAAACTCATGAATAATTATTTAGCAAACCAGATCCCGGGATATGAGAGACATGGTTCTTGCCCTTGAAGAGTTGATGGTTAGCAAGAGTAGACTGAAAATCTGTGGTTAGAGCACAAGATAGTATGCGTCATGGTGCGGAAATCTGCTTGTTGGTGTGATATGGAGGCTGGACTTGCCTTAGCAGTATGCTGAGTTGCACACACCCAACAAATACTCTAAATGGCAACCCATTTCTATCTTACCACTATTTCATGTTTGTAGTTTTAGAATATTTAGAATCCCCTCTTTAAATGTAAATATTCTGTGACAAAGAGAACTTCTCTTATTCCACAGTTCTGCAAAAAGTTCTGGACTTGATATTTATTGGACCAAAATGAGTCATCATTGAGTCCATTGAAATATAGTGGCCTGATTGCTTTATGCTTTGGTTATTTAGCCCTCCTTAAGCTGAGGTGGGGACTGTCCTACCCCATCCATGGTGCCTATGAATGAGGAGGGGATTGCCCTTGAGAAACACTAGTTGTTGTTGCCAGTTGATGGGAAAAGGGATGCTGATCATTCTGATAATAACTGTCCACTAAATATTCTCTCAGTGTTCAGAGAGCCATGTCTCTGATGACCATTGGCTCACAGCCATAGGCTGTCCATAAACAAAAATGTATATATGTATAAATATACATATATAGTTAAATAGAGAACATGTAAATGATAAAATTAAATTTACCAAGAATTCCACCACAAGAGATCATCATTAATGTTTAAGCATGTTTCCTTCTACTATTGTTCTAGATATTCATAAAGTGCTAATCCTGCTGTTACTTTAACAGAATTGAGATAGAACTTTAGGTGATAATCTTTTTGTGATGGATTTCCCAGGCGTTCTTTGAGCTTCTTGTGTTTGGATGTCTAGATCTCCAGCAAGGCCAGGGGAATTTTCCTCAATTATTTCCTCAAATAAGTTTTTCAAGGTTTTAGATTTCTCTTCTTCCTCAGGGACATCAATTATCCTTAGGTTTGGCTGTTTAACATAATCCCAAATTTCTTGGAGCCTTTGTTCATTTTTTAAAAATTATTTTTTCTTTGTCTTTGTCTCATTGGGTTAATTTGAAAACATTGTTTTTTGAGCTCTGAAGTTATTCTTCTGTTTGTTCTATTCTATTGTTGAAACTTTCCAGTGCCTTTTGTATTTCTCTAAGCATGTCATTCATTTTCAGAAGTTGTGATTATTTTTTCTTTATGATATCTATTTTTCTGGAGAATTTTTCGTTCATATCATATATATATATATAAATATATATATATATACACATATATACATTTCTTTAAGTTGTTTTTCACCTTTCTCTGGTATCTCCTTAAGTAGATAATCCTCTGGATTCTTTATCTGGCAATTTAGAGATTTCTTCTTGGTTTGGATCTTTTGCTGAGGAGCTGGATCTTTTGGGGATGATATAGAACTCTGTTTTGTCATATTACCAGAATTACCTGTCTAATTCCTTATCATTTGGGTAGATTATTTCAGTGGAAAGGTCTGGAACTCACGGCCTGCTGTTCAGATTCTATTATCCCATGGGGTGATCCCTTGATGTGGTGCTCTCCCTCTTCCCCTAGAGGCGGGGCTTTCTGACAGCTGAACTGCATTGACTGTTATTGCTCTTCTGGGTCCATCCTCCCAGTGGGGCTACCAGGTGCCAGCTGGGGAATGTCTGCAGGGTCCTGTAATGTGATCTGTCTTTAGATCTCCCAGCCATGGATACCAGCACCTGCTCTGCTGGAGGTGGCCGGGGAGTGAAGTAGACTCTGTGGGAGTCCTTGGTTGTAGATATGTTTAATGTGTTGGGCATGACTTTGAGGATTACATGATCCTAGAGAAAAATTTTACTCCATGCCATAAGAGTGCAGTGCTGTGTATATTTGAGACAGGGAGGCATTAACTTCAAGCTAGTGTTTATGTTCAACTCCCAGGCAGTACCTTGTATTAACAACAATACTTTGAAGGGGTGGCTTCTGGGAGTGTTTGGCAGGGTGAGTTTAACACAAGGCAACCTTCATTCAACAAAATATACTCTATTGGTGGCCTCCAAGCCCATAACTTCCTAACATTCACAAGTCCAGGAAGTTTTAAAAACGATGGATGTAGCAGTAACCGAGTGGCCTGAATATTAGAGGCATTTATCCATTTTTCCAGCCCGTGTGAGCCTTCCTGATTCTTGTTTCACTCTGTACAGGCAGAATCAGATACTTTTTTAAAAATACACACGCTTTTTTATTAGTATAGATACCTTCACAGTCAATACTGTAATTTTTAGAGGAATTCCACATTATTACATCAACTGTGTGAATTTCTAACAGAGGCAAAACTGAGCACCATAGTTTAAAGTAGGAAGACCATGCTTGAGGACAACAGATGTTCATTAAGGATGCACGATTGGTTTGAGAAGTTTTTAAGCCTAGTCCTCGCCCTCCTCCTCCTCAAACTCCCCTTGTTCATCGGCCATGGCATCCTAGTACTGCTGGTACTCAGACACCAGGTCGTTCATGTTGCTCTCAGCAGATACTTTTTAAACAAATGAAAAGAAGCCTGCACTAGTTGTCTTCTTCCTGTTCTGCTGCTCTTTCCCCTAGGTGAAGAGGATGCTCCATTGAACAGTTTGACAACTTCATGTCTAGCAACTAAATGATTAAAGTGATTTTCAAATCCCATACACTGCTGTTCTGGAGTCACACATGACAATATTCATACAAACTGTATGAATATCTAGCCCCTTTCACATATCTTCCTACCTAGGATACCCAGAGACCCATGTGGTTTCATAAGGGCCTTGCCACTAAGATGCCAGCCCACCTCATGCCCTGGCAGAGAGGGGCCTCAGAAAAAACGGAAATAAAAATAAGATACAAATACTTTATTCCCATAGATTTCCATATACAGCTAGATCTTGTGAACTAATCTGAAAGATGGAAAGGGAGTGAAACAATTTGTATGAAAATTCTCAACATTGTCAGTTTGATTTGGGTTCAGATGATAGCCTGCTATTGTGTTCACTTACTATCCTCTATGCTTGGTGTGTAGTAAGTACTTAATGATTATTTGCTGGTTGATAGAAATAAATCAGCAAATATTGCTGCAGGAATGAGCCCTTTTGAACTCAAATCCTGATGCATGAATGAGCCCTTTTGAAGTCAAAGGGCTGATGTAGCCCAGGTGGCCAGCAGGGAATCTTAGCCTAGAGGCCAGCAGTGACCAAGAGGAACAGGTTTAAAGGGGCTCAGGCTGCTGACTGCCTAGGTGGGCAGTGAACCTTGAGTGTATGGGAGGACACTGGGCTGGATGGGAGAGGTTGAGCTGGCTCTATCTAGGGAAGAGATGGAGCCAAGGGTTGGAGAGAGACCCTGCCAGCCTTGTCCTCCCTGGGTCCTACCTGCTGCCAGTGCAGGCCTGGTTTTTTTGAGGTCCCTCTCTGCCAGGACATGAGGTGGTCTGGCATTTCAGTGGCAAGGCCCTATGGAACCACATGGGTCTCTGGGTATCTTAGGTGGGGAGATATGAGGAAGGGACAGATCAGATCAGCGTGGTCTGGAGAGGACAACAGTTGGTAGATTCTGAGAATGTTCAGCAGGGATGAAGAGAAGGGCAGCCAAGAGGCTGGAGGGTGAGCTGAGCCTGGAAGGCAGAGAAAGGAACTAAGCCCAGGGGAGAATGAGGAGCCCCAGTGGGATGTGAGGAGCTAGGTCCCATGGTATTATCCCTTTTTTCTCTGTCGTGTAACACTGGAGAAGTAAATAAGAAGTTTACTCTGAGCCCCACAACCAAAGTGGTCCACGTTGTCTCCTGATGGTGATCAGCTTCAGCCCTGGCAGAAGGGCAGGCCCTGTCGAAACTGGTATGGATAAGAAAGAGCTGGGCATCAGCTTTGAGTGGGTGTTTGGGGAGGTGGCAAGGGGTGAGGGAAGAGGAGAAAGCAGAAAGCAGCAAAATTGTGTCATTGGCCTGCATAACACAGACCTGGTGCTTGTGAATGAGGGTCAATGAATAAACAAGAAACCAGCCTTTCCACTCAGCTTGGAGGTATTTATTCAGTTGCTGGCACCTCTCCCAGTATAAATCTGGACTCAGCTCCAGAGAAGGTGGTTCATCACAAAGGGAGCTTAGTTTGCTTCCTGTAGTTAGTGGCATTTCCTGGTTTTCTTTTCCTTTCGTTTTTTTTTTTTTTTTTTTTTTTTTTTACATGGAGTCTTGCTCTGTCACCCAGGCTGGAGTACAGTGGCATGATCTTGGCTCACTGCAACCTCTGCCTCCTGGATTCAAGTGGTTCTTCTGCCTCAGCCTCCTGAATAGCTGGGATTACAGGTATATGCCACCATGCCTGGCAAATTTTTGTATTTTTAACTGAGGTGGAGTTTCAACATCTTAGCCAGGCTGGTCTCAAACTCTTGACCTCGTGATCCACCTGCCTCGGCCTCCCAAAGTCCTGGGATTACAGGTGTAAGCCATCGTCCCCGGCCTCATGGTTTTCTTTATCCAGTGTACAAAGCTTGAGACTTTGGTGAAGGCCCGTGGAGACTTGCCATTGCGTGGTCCATGAGAGACAATGCCCTGGGCCACCTTGTTACACACAAGGGGGCCTCCGGAGTCCCCCTGTGAATAGAGAGTGGAAGGATTGAGCTGATGCTTCTCTTGGTCCTGCCCTTTCTGCCATCTCAAGCCCCCTCTTAGTGAAGGCCAACTTGCACAGCCTGTACATGGGAGACCAGAGGGCAGGGCAGGCTCCTGGTGGTCTCCAGGTGCCAAATTCTGGCCCTGGACATTGTTATTGCTTCACCTTATCCCAGGGGCCAGCCTCTGTCATCTCCCCTAGATCCCAGGTATGTGGGACAATTGGCTGAAGCAGGCAAGGAGGGCTGATACCCAGCATGGAGTACCAGCTGATTAACCACGTTGGGTATCAGCCTCTGAAGACATACCTGATTGTAATTATTGCACCCCCAGTGATCATAGTTTCCTAATATCTGTGACCTGTGGTGGGTGGGGTGTTGCAAATTCATCCTTCCAAAGGAGCACCAACCACCATAAGCCTCCTGGTAAGTTTGCAGAGGCCCTAATTTCTCCCCAGCTCTGTCTGTTCCCCTTTTCTTTTTCCAGAGAGAAAGATCACTGTCTAGTGGGTGAAGGAGTTCCCCACTGCTTGGGTCTCCAGGTCTCAGATCTTCCCCAAACATCTTTCTCCCCAGAGCCAATCCAGGCAGATACGTAGTCTTACCTTAAAGGAAGCCTTTTTAATCTCTGGGTCCCCCACACACAACTCAACTGTACTGTCGTAATAATTGCGTAAGCAGGATTCACACTTTCGATCTTCCTGCACCGTCAGGTTTACCGCCTGTAGTGTGTGTGAATATGTTCCCATGGGGGTTGTCCGTCCCCAGCCGGCCACACTGCACACCTGCCCTGGCTTCACCTGGGCTTTGCTGCTGGGTAGCCTGAGGGGCTGTACAGCTGTGGTCCTCTTGGCCTTTCTCTCCAGCTGTTGGGGAAGAGGCAAGAAAGTCCAGGTCAGCCAATGAACTTCTGGGCCCTGACACAGTGATGGGACAGTGCCGTCTTCCCTCTCCTCTGAGGCACAGGAATTGACCAAGAGGCCAGGATGGAAAGGAGGGGAAGGCTGGTGTCACAGTGGGAGTGGAACCAACTGTACCAAGAAGAGCAAGAGTGGCAGGAGTGTGCCTCACCTGCAGTAGCATAATGTCACTGGAGAAGTTCTCAGGATTATAATCTGGGTGGCAGAAGGTTCTTCTCACAGGCATGCTCTGCTGGGTCCTCTCCTGTTTCTTGATATTGTGGGCCCCCAGGGTGACATTTATAGAACTGCACAGAAAGCAGAGTGGGGATGGGGGTGGAGTCATAGGGGATACAACCCAGGAGCAGTAAGAGCAGGTGACAGCTGGGGCAGGGCAGGGCTGCAGCTGAGGGGAAATTGAGGGGACAGTTGGCCTCCAGGAATTGGAATTCTGGTAATTGCACCAGGTTTCTCAGGGGTTGGTTCCCCCTAGAGACACAAGTGAAATTACTTCAGATTGCATTCTTATGCCAAAGTATGCCCCAGTTCTATATATGGCAGGCTTGGTCACTCTGCTCTTTCTTACTTCAGCAGTGCCTCTGGAACTGACCTTCCCCTCTCCTCACAAGCTTACCTGCCCTTTTCTCACCCTCTAAGGAGCCTTCCTGGTATATGTGCTCCCAGGAGCCCAGGGGGCTCCTTGAGAAGAAGGCATGGGTCTCTGTGAAGTGTTTCCAGGAGGGCATGGGGCTGTTTTCTGCTCCTCACCTTCCCCAACAGTGAGCAGCTGTCAGCACGAAGTCCTCTCGTACCAGGAAGCCACCACACCTCTTCAGAGACTCCTGATCCCAGATTGCAAGATAGGCCATGTAGGGGTGGGAGTGGGGCTTGGCCTCATGTCCCCCGATGATCTCCCCTGAAGGAAAAGTCTGTCTGCTTGTGTGCACCCATGCAGTCTGCTGGGTGAGTTCCTGCTTGATGGTTCCAGAACTCCTGGGCAGTTGGGAGCCTGGGATAGCCTGGAGTTGGGAGGGGCCTGGAGGAAGGGGCTTCAATTTCCTGCTCTGAAAAAGGGAAGAATAGCAGGCTTTGGTCTGAAATCTTTCTTCCATATGTAGTTGAATGCGAGCATACCTGTCTTAGGGACAGTGAAATTCCAGAGGCTCCTGATCATTCCTCTCCTGACTTTGCTTTGTTTCAAGTGAGTTTCCAAGACCCTTAGGAGTCTTGTGGTGTCTAGGATAGTGCTGCTTTCTAACGGCCAGAGTGTTAAGTGGAGGGCTCTAGATACTGTCACATCCTATTTCCTAGAGCCTGACATGTGCTGGGTGCCCAATAAATGTTCCTGGCTGCATGATGGACTGGCTCCAGTTAGCCTCTGGATGAGGGCTGGTAGAGCAGTGCTGGTGGAATTCTAGAAAGCAGGGAAGTTGGGGCCTGCCACAGTGCCTCATCTTCAGAAAGAAGGGAGCCACTAAAGACCAGAGAAGAAAAGCAGAATTGGAGAATGGGACTGAGCAAACGCATTAACAGTGCTTTGAGGACAGTGACTGCACCAATTCTGTAGGCAGCTGAGCTCTGGGTTTCTCTCCTAAGAAGACAGTGAGAGAAGCACCTGTCTTATCTCAGAAACAGAAGCCAGGCCCACTCTAGAATAATTTAATATTTCGTCCTCTGCCATTTACTTCTAGGAAAGTACCACTCTCCAGGTGACAAAGGTGGGCTCTGAGGAGGGGATAGCACCCACTGGCTCTTCTCGAGAACAGTGTTTTGCTCTGCCATTCCTGCTGATAGTTTATCCAGCATCACTCTTGGGGGGTCTCGGTAGGATGGGAGCTGGAGTTCAGAATATTCCTGGTAGATAGATGGATCAGGAATGTGAAGAAAGGGCAGGGGACCTGTGGGATGGGGTTGGGCCCCCAGGTCACTCACCTGCATCTGCCCTGGGCAGCAGGAGGAAGGCCAGCAGGAGCAGGATTGGTTGCATCATCTCAGGAAGTCTGCCCTGGTTGGAGCTGCTGTTGTTTCCTCCTTGCTCTCTTTTAGCTCTTGGGAGAGGAAGGAGGTGGAGTGGACTCAGTGACTTCATGTTCCTCTTTGGTTTTGCGGTGCCTGATCACAGAAGGTTTTCTATGAATGCTGCCCACCCCCACTGCCTCTGCCTGATGACGTCCTCTGGGGGCTTGTGTGAGAATCGTGCAGTGACCACATCAGCACCCACAGCTGATGACTCAGAGTGGATCACCTATTCAGCCTAGAGCAGGAACCCAAGCTCATGAGGTGGACTGTAGGATGTGGTAACAGCCAGTAGAGATACTAGAGCACTAGAAACCTGAGTTTCCAGTGACAGAACCACCAATGCTTTCATGGCCAATCCATCAGGATAGTTTCTTTAGTGAGTATGTGTTTGAGCCCTTCTCTTGTGCTAGAACAAAACATGTTGGAGATGTGTCTCTTTCCCTTAGAAAGAGGAGATAGAGTATAGTTTGGGGAGGGCTATGGTAGAGCAATACACAAGGCAGTAACAAAGCATGGCCACCAACTACTAGACCCATTTATTGTTGCAGCTTCCTTTCTAAGGGATTTCTAACATCCACTATTTAGGTAGAAATGTTTAGTGTGAGAGGCCACCTCTTTTCTGAATGCTTTCAACAGAACTCTTGTACTTGACATTTTTTGGGCCTAAATTAACAAATTGCTATGGTCCTAGGAGTTGAATCCACTTTGGATAGGCTGGGATCAGTCCACTCAAACCACTCAAACCAAGAATGAGAAAGGGCTGCTTCTCTAAAGGATGTTTGGGATGCTAAACTGCTGATATCATGTGAAATGAGGAAGCATGCCAGGCAGCCAAAGATTAGTAGTTGTCATTTTTAGTGTTCTGTCTCCTGTCCAGAGAGCCACACTTCTTACATATCAAGCTCAGCACATAATAGGCTTACAGTAAACATTTGCTAAACAAACTACTCTAATGCTTTCCCTCCCCTAGTCCCACACCCCTGACAGGCCCCAGTCTGTGATGTTCCCCTGCCTGTGTCCATGTGTTCTCGTTGTTCAACTCCTACTTGTGAGTGAGAACACGCAGTGTTCTGTTTTCTGTTCCTGTGTTAGTTTGCTGCTGATCATTCCTCTCCTGACTTGCTTTGTTTCAAGTGAGTTTCTAAGACCCTTATGAGTCCTGTGGTGTCTATGATAGTGCTGCTTTCAAATGGCCAGGGTGTAAATGGAGGGCTCTAGATACTGTCATATTCTATTTCCTAGAGCCTGACATGTAGTGGGTGCCCAGTAAATATTCATGGCTGCATGATGGACTGGCTCCAATCAGCCTCTGGACAAGTGCTGGTAGAGCAGTGTTGGTGGAATTCTAGAAAGGTGGAAACAAATCACATGAATCAAACCACATGGAGAGACTTAGTTGTTCTTTTTTTTTTTTTTTTAATTGTACCTTAGGTTCTGGGGTACATGTGCAGATCATGCAGGATTGCTGCATAGGTATATACATGGCAATGTGGTTTGCTGCCTCCATCCCCCTGTCACCTATATCTGGCATTTCTCCCTATGTTATCTTTCCCCAACCTCCCTACCCCCCGCTGCCTCTCCCCTAGTCCTCCGCAACAGACCCCAGTGTGTGATGCTCCCCTCCCTGTGTCCATGTGTTCTCATTGTTCAACACCCACCTATGAGTGAGAACATGTGGTGTTTGATTTTCTGTTCTTCTGTCAGTTTGCTGAGAATGATGGTTTCCAGATTCATCCATGTCCCTACAAAGGATACGAACTCATCGTTTTTTATTGCTACATGGTATTCCATGGTGTGTATATGCCACATTTTCCTTGTCCAGTCTATCATCGATGGAAATTTGGGTTGGTTCCAGGTCTTTACTATTGTAAACAGTGCCGCAATTCAAGAAATGGTGCTGGGAAAACTTGCTAATCACATGTAGAAAAATGAAACTGTATCTCTATCTCTATTTATACAAATCAACTCAAGGTGGATTACAGACTTAAGATAAAATTGATAGTTCATTAGCTAGCCTAACCAAGAAAAGAAACACTTTCCCTCATCCTCAATAGAACAGTTGAGGCAAATAGCAAGCATAAAGTAAGTGTGGATTTAAAAGCAAATATACCAGGATTGATGTGGTGACTTACAGATGTAATCCTAACACTTCAGGAGGCTGAGGTGGGAGGATCACTTGTGACCAGGAGTTTTAGGCCAGCTTGGCAACGTAGCAAAACTCTGTCTCTACAACAAACAACAACAACAACAAAACACTATCCAGGAATGGTGGCACATGCCAGTAATCCTAGCTACTAGGGAGACTGAGATGGGAGTTCAATTAAGCCCAGGAGTTCAAGGTCGCAGTGAGCTATGATCATGCTACTGCTCCCTACCTGGGTGACAGAGCAAGACTCTTCTCAAAACAAATGAACAAACAAACAAACAAACAAACAAAAACAAATATATTAATAGCCATATTAAATGTAAACATTCTAAATACTCCAGTTAAAAGTTAAATAATAGCAGATAAGTTATAAAAACAAAACATAAATCTGTGTGCAGTGCAGCAGATTTTGAAAAGTTGAAGGTAAAAGAAAGGAAACATATTTGCTATATTTATAGTAACCAAAAGAAAACACTTATAGGTGCATTAATACCAGATAAAATTGACAAACAAAAATTGAAAGAACTCCAAGAATAAATAAATCCATCAGTGTCTCAGAAATTGGCACAATAAAGATGATTTAAACAGTTCATTTAATAAACTAGGCCTAACAGTTCTAGAACACCATACCCACCCACTGCAGAATACATATTTTTGTAAGTTCACTCAGAAACTTTGCCAAAATCAATCACTTACTGGGCTGCAAAGCAACTCTTGAGAAATTTCAGAGATGTATTTTTTTCAAATGTTGTCTAGTCACAACATAATTAAGCTAGAAATCAATGAAATAACTGTAAAAAAACCCATAATATTAGAAAAAGAGAAACAAACTTTTTTATTTATTTTTAAACTTTTAAATAATGTATGTCAAAACAAAATTTATTAAAAATGAAAAGTTTTGAACTAATAATAGCATTTATTAAAATTGTGGAACTCAGCAATAGCAGATAGAGGATATTTTATAGTCTTAAAACTCGTAAATCACAACAAACTGAAATTATTGAACTGATCACATATCTCAGGAACTTTAGAGATTAATAAGTGAGATAAATTCAGTAAAGTAGGAGGAAGAAATAATAAGAGACAGCAGAAATTAATGAAATAACATGCAAACATACAATAGAGAGATTAAATACAGCAGAGATTAACCATTTGAAAGGGCTAATAAAATTAACAAACCTTTGGAGAAATTAATTAGGAAAAAAGAGAGAAGGCACAAATGTTTAATATCAGGAACTCAAAATAGAATACTTTTACAAATGCTTGGACCATGAAAAGATAAGCCAAGAATATTATAAATACATTTATGCTAATAAATTTGAAATTTTAGACAAAATAGAAATATCACCACCTAACAATATGGACTTAAAAAGAAATTGCAAAGTTGAGTAATACTAGAACAATCAAAGAAATTGTGGCAGCAGTCAAAAATTTTTCTATATAGGGAACTGACCTAGATGACTTTACTGTTAATTTCTACTGAAACTGAAGAAAGGAAGACTTTTATTATTCTACAAAGTTCCCCAGGGAAGAGAAAAAGGAACACTACCCATCTCCATTTATAAGATTGGCATCACCTTGATTCAAAGAACAGAATAAGGAAGGAAATTTATAAGTCAATCTCATGCATGATTCACTGAATCAAAGCCTTACATAAAGTATTAACTCTCAAAATTAGCCCAACAATATAGAAAAAGGTTGATACATCATGAGCAAGTTGGGTTTTCAGATCTAAGAATGCAAACCTTATTTAACCTTAGACAGACCAATTAATATACTTTGCCACACATATTTTAAGAGAGCAATAATAAAGTTATCTCAATAAACATAAGATATTTTGATAAAATTTAACATCTACTCATAACAAAAATACCCTTTTAGTAAACAAAAATGGAAATACATTTCCTTACCCTAATAAACAGTGTTTGTAAAAGGTACCTAAACCACTTAATCCATCTCTTCTCTAGTAAGAAGATGAAGGTTTCCATCTTTCCCACAAGAACAAGAAAGCCTTTCTCTCCAGGCTAATTTTCACACAAACCTGTGATTCTGGTATTCTCCTACTAGCTCTCTTCGTTGAGCAGCCTTGAATTTGGAAGTTCTCCTCGTGGGATGCTGTTAGGGAAATCTATCGAGATTAAAGAGAGAGGATGTGAATAGACTAAAGAGAGAAGCAGAGCTAGATCAGAGATTGGGAGAGTTACCGGCGCTAGAAGGTCTTTTTCTGCCTTTAATCACAGCTCATCAGACCAGATTCTCTGCTCTGACATGTGTTCCAGTGTTTGGAGACCTGGAGCTTTCTTGTTCAGGGGAGATCACCAGGGCACGGAGACCAAGCTCTACTCTTTCTCTGCTAGGGCATACCTGAAAATTACTGTTATGTAGTGGGTCCAGGAGTGGTAAATCCCTGACAAGAAGGATCATTATAATGGTCTCTCTTGAGTTGCACAGTGAAAAGGTTTTGTCTTCTTCATGTTTTAGGGAAACCCAGGATCAGACGTTTATGGAGGGCAATGTGGGGATAGTAGTTTGGGTTCAAAAGTTCCATTCATTTTTGAAGGAAAAGTGAGAAAGAAGAGGAACTGAAATTCCTAGTAATTCTCGGATATTATTCCCTATAGATAACCTCCACCTAGGTCCCCTCATCAAGAAAGGTTTATGCCTTAGTCTTCATGGTCCAGGGCCAGGCCCTCTAAGTCATCTGCTAACTTAATGTTCCATGACTAAATGAGCAGTATGATTTCCTTTTCTCTCTCTTTCTCTTTTCTTTCTCTCAGTTGATGCTCCATCTATACCAGGTTGCTGGTCCATATTTGGACTTGGATGAAATAGCACACTATGAGGCATAAAACCTGGCTTCCTGAGTGGC